ACTGTGAAACCAAGGACAGACTCAACTGAAGATAGATGGACTCGAGTTAATCATCCAAAATTCCTTAAAGCACAACAATATCAGAACGGGGGCCTAACTCGATCTCAGAAACGTAGGGAACAAAAGAGAAGGGCTGAGCAAAAAAGGAAAGCTGAGGAAGGAGGCAAAGTAGTACAAGCCGAAGAAGTCGGCATTCCAGATAAAGATGGGGAGCATCAGCCGACGTGGCCTAGACGCAACAATGAGTTCAGAATTCAGTTTGGCAGTTTCCTAAATGAGATGTCATGTAACATGGCATTTGCATTACCTGCAATGTTTCAAGCTCCATCGGCATCAAACGTAAATACTGAAATGAATGAGGTCAAAGATACCCATTCTTTTCCATTGATTTCCTTTCGTAGTAGACACACGATCCACCCACTCGTTCCATTGGAGCATTGGCGGATGCCAATTTTTGAGGAAAAGGGTAGGTCTGTCCCCTTTTGTTGTCAGGTAAAGAGGTTTAGAGAAAGGGAGATGTTGCTCGGCCTGTGGATAAATTGGTGATAGCGAATGAGGGAATTGGTTCAGAAATGCTGGGCCAAGCCCCTTAGCATTTTCGGAGACGTCGATTAATGTGGTAATATCCAGTTCGTTGTGATCTAGGGTTTTGATCGCTGATTTAGTAAGTTGGGTATGTGATGTTGCCTCTGGAAAAGGGGATTCCAAATTCAAATCACTCTGTTTTGGTAGTTTTGAAGCCATAACTAAAGGAAAGAAAAGACGAAGTTGCAGAGAAATTCTGGGAGCAAAGTACTTTGGTAGAAGCAAGTTTGATTTGAGGAGAATCGTTTGGTTTTCGTGAATGAGAAAGAAACGTGAAGTATAGGGATACCAAAGGGTTAGCTGTATTATTAATGGCTAAAAGGATGGATTAGTGCATACGGCGATTTTTGGAAGTCCTAACAATCATGATTCTTAGGAGATTATATGGTACATTCATGTTTTAACATAATGGGTGTTGTTTGAATTTTGGAAGTCGAAGGGTTAAAACGGCTACCAAAATTGGGGGGCATTTTTGACACCCATTTTGGTATTTGGGCCATAAAAGATATTGGGCTGGAGACATGCGTTGTTAGGCTAAACAATGAAGATAGGTTGAGACCGAAATTGCTGTTGATTGCATGACATAGAATTGGTTTGGTGAATGGGCCAACTGTAAAATGGGTTTGTAAAGGAAACGGTTATGTAGGTTCATATGGAGCATAACTAGCGTGCAAGGATTGGGTTGAGTTTTAAAATGGATAAGGATTGCAATTTGTAGTTTTTATCTTTTGGTTAAGGTTAGCTAAGTATAGTTTATCAATAACTTAGTTGGTTTTTGTTTAATAATTAGGCTATCGATGAATTTGATTTGGATTTAGTAGTTAATTATGTGATAGAGTTTGATGTATTTAGAATGCTTGTATTTAGGAAGATAATTTATATTTTTCTATAAATAAGAAAAAGGCCTGCTGTGAAAGAGGTCCAGCACCCTCAGAATCAATTTATTATTTTGTTTGTTTTCTCAAGCACTTTCCTCAAATAGCATCCTTGCTAACTTTATCTATCTCTCTATTTCAGTCTCGCTCTATTTCTCTCCCCATATCTCTTTCTCCCTATCTCTTCTCCCTATCACTTTCTATATCTATTTCTTCCCCTTTCTATTCTCTTGATACGTTATTATAAATTGTTCACTGGAAAAGTCGTTTTAACTAAGCCAATTTTGAACCCAAAGAGGAATTTTTCTGTTCCCTTTTTCCTCGCAATCGTTTGAAAGTCAACTTGCTCAAAGGGACTAAAGTTGACAATTCACATTTGAATCACACAAGTGATTCTGGCACGCCCGCTCCATCTCAATTTAAGATCAGATCTTAGGAGCCGATTTTAGGGTCAACAAATGCCCATGACGGTGAGTGGGGCACACAAGAGTAATTACCACGGTTCCGCATAACCCGTGGTAAAAAGGCTCTTTTACCATAATTTTAATTTTAAGACCAGGTAGAAAGTTAAGTTTTTTTCACGGTTCCTCCTAATATGTGATAGAAATGTTCTTCTACCACGGTCCATACGGAACTGTGGTAGAAATGATATTCTACCACGGTAAACTCCCGTGGTAGAAGGTGAAAATTTTTTTCCATGTTATTCTCGCTGATATTTCAATAGATGACATGTCCAAAAGAATAAAAAAAAAAAAAAAAAAACACACACATTCAGTACAGAAAGGAAAATGATTCTTGCACGAAATAGTTGACAGTGAATTGTTAGAACTATTATTTTAATTAGTCAATTATGTAATAAATAAGAAAATGAAACGCTCCACTTAATTGTATTTGGTATAAATAATCAATTAAAAATATGATTGCAATAAGCCATTAAATGTTTTTATGATTACATATTTGTATATTCTGTTAGAAATATGATTGCAATAAGCCATTACATACAAGAAACCATTACTGCTAGGGATTGCAAGTGTTAACCAAACTGTAGATTGCAGTGTTGGTAATACATGTCAGGGAGCCTTTGGCTTTCCCCAAAGATTTAGTTCTAAGTTTTGATGCAATTGTAAGGTTGCATTATGAAGTAATAGATTTCTTAAGCCTGTGCAAATCAGATTAAGATACACAGTATGTAAGGAAGTATAAGCAGGACTTCTAATTAGGCAGTTTGAGACAAGAATGTGTTGACAATATTAAAATGTTGGTCTTTGAATAGAGAAAATAAAATGTTTACCCAAACTTCTAAGTCAACAAAAATAAATAGTAATATGTACCTTATATTGGCAAGATTCTAATTAGATCGTATTTTTGACAAGGAAACTCTGGAATTACTTGTTGAATATTGGGAGAAATTCATCTATACTGTGACAAAGTTATTCATCTTTGCCTACACTTGTTGATCTAATAATTGATTCCCTAAGCAATAATAGCCTATGTTTTAACTTTTTCTTTCTTCTTCGTCTCTAAGTAACTATTTCAAATGTACTAGCAAGCAATAATCAAGAAACCTTCTAGTTGTTTCTGCACTCTGTTATTTATTAATTAGTAACTGTACAATTGTTGGGGACATGATATTCAGCATTTTCATATGATGTGTATTAGTTATGGGATGTATGTATATTTTTAAAATTAATTATTTAATATTTTTTCTTCAAAAAAGCAAGTGTTGTAGTGAATATCATGTCTCCAATTGTTTTCATAATCCTTCAAGTTTCATTGCATTTTCTTTTGTGTGCACATATATATATATATATGTATGCACACAGATTATGTATAAGTGCAGTAGTGGGCCTATGTATAGACACAGATTATTATATATGAAGTCATTGGGTGTATGTTGTTTGATTTTATAAGGTTAATTTGCTGGGAATGTGTGTGAGGACTAGGAGAATACTTGTGCATCAAACAAATGAAATGTGGATTGTGTAGGAGAATAATTTCTACTACGGTAAAAAACCGTAGTAAAAAGTCACCCATTTGCTACCACGACCGTTACCACCACAGTCCAAAATCATGGTGGAAAGCATTTTTTACTGTGGTTAAAAACATTTTTGTTATAACAATTCAAGTATAAATAATTTAGCATTTGCGAGACTTCGTACCTTGTAATTTTAAATTTTGTGAAATATGAATAAATATATTTTAATATAAATAATTATTTTTCTTATTGAAAGATCAGAAATAAAAATATATATATTTTTTCACAGTTGGCAGAGTATTGTGCTTATATCGTGCTATAAATATAGCAACAAAGTAGAGAATGGTAAAATATTCCAGAGAAAATAGTAGGGAGGAAGGTTCACTTTTATTTCTTTTGGTGTCTTATTTAGGATCCTTAGTAGCATATATATATATATATATATACACACACATCCATACATGTAAAGTTTCTTACCACCAAAACTTGCCACCTTGCACTTTTACGGACTTTGGTGTATGAAGTGGAACCCATATATGCAACAATTTCAAAGCTATTTTAAAGTTATTTTCAGTACAGGTACATGGGTTCTTCACTGCATTATATTCATGGTGGGTCCTCAAATATATTTATTTACTCGTACGAATTTGTTTAGAGCAATTCATGGACGTCCAATACATTGATTTGATTATAAATATAGAGTAGGTGATGATGGGTCAATGTTCATCCCCTAACAAAGCTGCAAATCACTTTCCTTGAGCATTTGGCCGTGGTTGTTAAATACTCTTTTTTGGGAGTATATTAGTCTTCCTTTTAATATAGTATTCTGTTTGGTGAAAAATAAAAAAATAAAAAATTTTCTATTCCCAATCAAACCTTGCCCAATATTTATTTTATTATATTGGAGTGCGATACTGTCCAATGCATTGATTTGATTATAATAAAGAGTAGGTGATTGCCGGGTCAATGTTCATCCCCAACGAAGCTGCAAATCACTTTCCAATTCCCAATCAAAGCCTGCCCACTTGTGAATAAACTTACAAACCTGAATATAAGATGAAAATGAGATTCTCACATTCCAAAACATAGCAGATCCAAAAGTTGCCAAAATTCATCTGAGCTTCTTTGTTGTAGTTGCAGCATCTGAAATGGGCTCTAAGGCTTTGTGCTCTTCAACGACGCCCCTTCCAGGAGGTGAATACGAGGTGTTCTTGAGTTTCAGAGGCCCAGACACTCGCCACACCTTCACAGATTTCCTATACACCTATCTCAATGATGCAGGTGTTCGCACCTTTCGCGATGATAATGAACTTCGCAAAGGAGAAAAGATCGGCCCTGAGCTCCGCAAAGCAGTCACCGAGTCCAGTATCTCCATCCCAGTCTTCTCCAAAAACTATGCTTCCAGTAAATGGTGCCTCCGTGAGCTTGCCCAGATGGTGGACTGCAAGAACAGTAGGGGGCAACTGATTCTGCCCATCTTCTATGACCGTTGAACCATCCATCAATCTGGCAGTTATGAGCAGGCCTTTCTCAACCACAAAAACTGTTTTCATGAAAGTATTGTTATGGGATGGAAAGAGGCAATGACAGAAGTTGGAGCACTCAAGGGTTGGGAAGTGAAGAAAGTTGCGGATGGGTAATATTTTCCTACTAATAAACCTCGTGTTAAAATAAACAAACTTAACCACTGCAAGAAAAGCAATATGACAATTGGTTTCATGAATCACCGTCCCTAAAATTCCAAAATATTAATGAGTCCAAGATTTTTAAAATAAATAAGTATGAACTAAAATTACAATAAATAAGGTAGAAGACATCATTATTTTTTTCTAATTGGAACTCACACAAATTGTTTGTATCCAAGAACAGTCAAACCTCATACCCATATTTCCTGAGGAACTGCCAAGTGACTTACCCAGCCAACTTCTTGGGGGTTAAGACATCATTATTTAACTTATTGTTTAATTTAATATTTCCTCTCTGCACTAATTGTTTGACACTTTTCATCTTGACATCAATTAGGCATCAAGGAGAACTAATAAAGATGATTGTTCAAACAGTGTTGTTGGAGTTGAAGAAGAAATGCATGGTTATAACCGACAACTTGGTTATGATGGAAGATCATCTGAATGAAATGACGAGATTATTAAATGTTGGCTCCAATGATACACGGATTGTTGGTATCCATGGCATGGGTGGTATTGGCAAGACAACTATTGCCAAGTGCACCTACAACAAGCTTTTCCAACACTTTGAATGTTGTAGCTTCCTTGCAGATGTTCGGGAAAAGGTGCAACAATACAATGATCTTGTTGGTTTGCAGAAACAACTTCTCACTGACACTCTTAAATGTTGCTCTGACATTACTGATATTAACAGTGGAATCAGTGCTATCAAGCTTCGATTTCAAGAAAAGAATGCCCTCGTGGTTCTTGATGATGTGAATGAAAAGTCTCAATTTGACTGGCTTGTGGGAAATCGTGATTCCTTTGGCCCAGGAAGTAGGATCATAGTTACAACTAGAAACAAGGATGTTTTAAATACTCTTGAAGTCGATGAGACTTATGAACCGCCATTGATGAACCATGAGCAATCTCTTCAACTTCTCAGCATTCATGCTTTCCAAAAAAAGTTCCCTCCAATAGACTATGATAGTATCTCTAAAGAGATTGTATTGGTTTCTGCAGTGCTTCCTCTAGCTCTTGAGGTTATAGGTTCTTTTCTATGGAAGAAGAAGGAAGCGATATGGACAGATACATTAAAGAAGTTGAAAAACATACCAGATGATCAAGTCCAGAAAAGGTTGAGAATAAGTTATGATCAATTAAACCATGAGCAACAGCAGATATTTCTTGATATTGCATGTCATTTTAGTGGGATGGATAAAACATATGCATTTTATATGTGGGATGATTGTGGCTATTACCCAGAGAAGGAAATTAATGCTATGTGTCTCATGTCTCTAGTAAAAATAATAAATGTTAATGTGTTGACGATGCATGATCAACTTATAGATCTCGGTAGGGAAATCGTCCGTCAAGAAGATTTTGAAAATCCAGGAATGCGTAGCAGGTTATGGGATAAAGAGGAAGCCTTGGATGTCCTGGAGGGAGAAATGGTAAAATTTATATGGCCTTTGTTGTATTAGTTAACAATTTCTTAACTTTTGTTAATACGATCTCGTAATACACATATACACACCGGCAAATGATATTCTTGATGCCTATCTCAAATCATGCAGCAATATTGTTAGGTATTAAATGTTAGTTTCCTTTATTCAAGGGCCACCATCACCTTAGTTACTTGTCTACTTCAATTACACTTTCATTCTGATATAAATATAAAAAAGAAAACCATGATGTCTATCATTTCCCATTGCGAATAAAGAGGTACTTGGTTGATCAAGTTGATTCCAGCATCACCTAGGTAACTTGTTTATCATTTCCCATTGCAAATAAAGAGGTACTTAGACAACTCTCATCTCGTATATAAATTACAAATGTTGACTGAACTCAATTTCAACTGTCTGCAGTTGCTGGTACTGATCGAGCACCCCAAGACCGATTCGATGCCTGATCGTTGGAAACTATTCTAGTCTTCCTAGTTCAAATTTGAGTCTAACTCATACTTTTGAGTCTTAGATAACTATTAGTTTGCAATTAGATTCGAAAAAATTAACTTACCTCACTTCAAACTATAGGTGTCAACTGTCAAGCAAACTGATGGCAACCAAAACTATTTGATGCATGATCTTTTTATTATTTCAAGTAACTTTTTATTGTTGGTTTATAATAATTTCAAAAAGAAAATAGACCAAACTTGATCAACCAAAGTCGATTTTCTCATCTGTTTACATATTTTTATCGTTTTTCCATTGACAGGGAACTGAAAAGGTCCAAGCCCTAAGTCTTTGCGATTCTGAAAAGAACGTTTCAGCATTACAAATTCAGCAAACTAATTAATCTGAGGTATCTCGAAGCAGACACAGCAAATCTCGTTGGGGATTTCAAGCATCTCTTGTTAAAATTAAGATGGCTTAGTTGGAAATATTGCCCTCTGCATTTTGAAGCAACCAATTTTCATTTGAAGAAACTAGTCATACTGGATCTATCAAGGAGTGGCATCACAGAGAAGTGGAAGGGTTGGAGCCAAATTAAGGTATGTTAAAATCTCTACTCTCATTTCATTTCTTGTCTTCCATTACCTCCATGTCGGAGATTGATACTGTTTTTATGCATCTTATAAACAGATGGCAAATAAGTTAAAAGTGCTCGACATTTCTTGGAATCATATAAGCAAGTTACCTGATGAAATTTGGATGTTAGAGATACTGGAAGTTCTAAGAGCCTCATCTTGCAACTTGAAGGGTAACATTCCTAGTTGTATTGAGAGATTATCATCTTTGAGAAAGTTGAATTTTGGTCATAATTATATTCAAAGCCTACCAACAAGTATTTGCAAGCTTTCTTGCCTCCAAACACTTGACTTAGGTTGCGGCTGTAATATCCAAGCACTGCCAGAGCTTCCCTCGAGTTTAGAAATTCTGCATGTCACTTTGTACCCTAAGAGAAATTTGCATGTGAAACTTGCAAATCTGGTTAATCTACAGGACCTGCGACTTTCTTGGTGCAGTATGAACCTTGTGGAGATTCCCAGATATATTGAGAAAAGATCAAAACTGCAGATATTAGAAATGGAAAATACCAACATTAGGACCCTACCGAAAGAGATTGGTGCCCTTTGTCAGCTCAAACCTTACTATACGAATTTGTGAAGACCTTCATTGTATATTGGGTTTACCCCCCAGTCTGGTTAAATTATATATTAGCAATTGTTCTTCATTGGAAATATTGCCAGATCTGTCAAATTTAAAATTTTTGTTGACATTGATCCTTCGGGGATGCCCTGAGCTGACAGAGATTCAAGGGCTTAGGAAACTAGAATCATTGACAATTTTAACCATAGAAGAGTGCTATAAGCTGACAGAGATTCAAGGGCTTGGGAAACTAGAATCGTTGACACATTTGACCATATGATGTTGCCACAAGCTTCAAGAGGTTCAAGGACTTGGAAATTTAAAATCGCTGGCAAGTTTGTCTATAACTACGTGCAAAGAAATAGCTGAAATTGATCTGACCTTCGGCACCTCTAGTGTCCTTATTGACAATTTTGACCATAGAAGAGTGCTATAAGCTGACAGAGATTCAAGGGCTTGGGAAACTAGAATCGTTGACACATTTGACCATACGAGGTTGCCACAAGCTGAAAGATGTTCAAGGACTTGAAAATCTAAAATCGCTGGCAAGTTTGTCTATAACTGCGTGCAAAGAAATAGCTGAAATTGATCTGCTTGAACCTTCGGCACCTCTAGTGTCCTCATTGACAATTTTGACCATAGAAGAGTGCTATAAGTTGACAGAGATTCAAGGGCTTGGGAAACTAGAATCGTTGACACATTTGACCATACGAGGTTGCCGCAAGCTAAAAGAGGTTCAAGGACTTGGAAATCTAAAATCGCTGGCAAGTTTGTCTATAACTGCGTGCAAAGAAATAGCTGAAAACCTTCGGCACCTCTAATGTCCTCAGAGATGAGTGGGTACAAACAACTTGAAAATAAACCATATCTGTCCAACTTCAACAAGTTAAAAAAATTTGAGGCTTTTCATTGCACAAATCTCAATAAGATCAAAGGGCTAGAGAGATTGGTATCATTGGAAGATTTATATTTGATTGATTGCCAATCCATAGTAAGATTACCCAATCTGTCAAACTTGAAAATGTTGAGACACTTGCAGCTTTATGGATGCACGAGGTTATGTGAGATTGAGGGCCTTGATGCTTTGGAAGCCTTGGAAGATTTAAATTTGATTTATTGCCGATCCATAGTAAGATTACCCAATCTGTCAAACTTGAAAATGTTGAGACACTTGTGGCTTCATGGATGCACGAGGTTATGTGAGATTGGGGGCCTTGATGCTTTGGAAGCCTTGGAGGAACTGGAAGAAATAATACCAGACATGCATATTGAGACGACATCATCATCATCATTATCGTCGCCGGATTTTCTACACATACATATTGAATCACCATCACCGTCATCGTCATCGTCATCGTCATCGTCGTCATGTAAATGGGGTCAGTCATGTGAATTCTCTCTTCAATCTTTTCTATCACAAGCCATTTCATCCACTACTTCTAACTTTTTATAGTCATTTTTAATAACTTTATCCCATGTTAATTTTGGTCGCCCTCTCTCCATCTTTTACCTGTTGTTACAACCAATCTTCTTCATTTGACTTGTCCAAACCATCTAAGTTTATTTTCTCACCAATGACAGCTGCACCTAATTTTTATCTCACACCTTCACTTGTGACCCTATCCTTTTGGTCACTCCACTCATCCATCTTTACATGATTTGAGAATATCAAAACTTTATTCCAAGTAGAATAACATGAGGTGATGGTATGCCTGATTTTTTCTTTCATATTTTTTCTTTCTCTGTTTGGTCCTCTGGAAAAGGGACTTTCAGTCTTTCCTTGATTACTTGCTCATACTCTTTTCTTTCTATTTATCAATTCAGCTTCATATTGGAGACTGGGTGGAATAATCAAACATTGGTTAGGAGAGCATGTATCAAAAGTAATAAACCTAATAAGAAAGGGGAAAAGCTCTCATGAGTGAACAATCAAAATATAAGTCCTCTGGAAAATCTCCAAAAGGGCCTGGGTCATTTGGAACATGGTATTTCTCTTACTTTTATATGATTATAGACTATTTGGAATTCTACAACATTTTTGCTCGTCTGGTAACGTACGTGTCACTTTTTATTGTTTTTTTATTTTTTTTATTTTTAGTGTTTGGAAGGGGTTCAAATTTGATTAGAAAGAGGATCAAAATGACACAGCTATGAGGTCCAGAATATGTTAGTACATTGAGGTAAGTGAATGACAATACATATATACTAGCTGTCTATTGTGAACTTATTATTTCTCATCCCCTTCTCATTGTTTCAGTACTCTCTTGGTCTGTCCCTGTTCCATTATATATGCTTTGAGAATGAAGCTTCTATAGAGGTGAATGAGGTGAGAGAGCGCGTGCTGAACTTCTTTCTCTATTGCATATCAGAAATTAGGGAACTCTGGAGCAGGTTCAAGTGCTGATTTGCACTCTTCGTCCAAATCTCTACCAGGAGGAAAGTATAAGTCTTGTTGAGCTTTACCCATTTTCTCTACAACTATCACAAGGATGCAGCAGTTGGCTCCTTCCGGAGCTCCACAAAGGAGAAGAGATCGGCCCAGAGCTCCTCAAAGCTATAATGGAGTCAAAAATCTCATCCAATCTTCTGCAAAAACTATGCATATATGGTGCCTCCGCGAGTTGGTCATCAAGATGGTGCAATGCAAGAGAAGTATGGGACAATTGATTTTACCAATCTATGATGTTGAGCCGTCAGATGTAAGGCACCGGTTTGGGAGTCGGGAGATTCTTGACGCGAGAATTCAAAGACTGCCAAGGAGCATTCACTAGCTCTCATGCCAGCAAACCTTTAATTTAGGAGGCTGCACGGAGCTCCAATCAATTGCTGCTGAAGTTTCCCCCAAGTTTAAAGAGTCTACATGTCCCTGGCTTTATCCCTGGTCTTGCAAATTTGATCAATTTACTTGAACTTCGGATTATTGGAAAAATGTTCAAATTGGAGAAATTGAACTTGGAACTTGTAAATATTAGGACCCTGCCCGGAGAGATTAGTACCCTTTGAATTTTAAATGCAACTTGGGATTACCCTCAAGTCTGGTTGATTTATCTGTATACAATTGTAAGTCACAAATATTCGGGGGTCCATTTGATCCCGAGGAACTGAAGGAAGGACATGCATTTGTTTCAACTGAAGTTGTGTGATGTTACACTATTCTGTGTGTGTTTTGGTTGATTTACCGTTTGGTCTTGGCAAGAGGGAATTTTTTTGATTGCTTAATTGTAGTCTTCCCATTATATATCTCTGTCCAGGTTGGAAATGGAGGGTTTATGGAATAGTCAAACATAAGCTATGAGTAGCCTAGAATCAGAATTAATCTCTCTTCTCATTATATATCTCTTCAAGTTAGAAATGGAGGGTTTATGGAATAGTCAAACATAAGCTTTGAGTAGCCTAGAATCAGAATTATTCTCTCCTAATAAGAAAGGGGAAATGGTTGTTGGGTTTAAATTCAACATTCAACACGTAAAAATCAACAATAGTGCATTAATTAAAAAGGAGAATTTAGCAATAGTACCTAATTGGCTACTAAACTTTAAAATACCTAGAGAAATATGTAGGAGATCCTGAGAGGGCACTACCCCCGATCTTAAACTTGTCATTTGATGAGTTAAATAAGGATTTTGAAATCTTTATATATGACAACACTAAGGGATGAATTCTCTACAAAAAAAAAAAAAAAAATATATATATATATATATATAAAGTTAAGTCTTTCTTGTCAATATGAAAACTTAGGTACTAATGGTTAGAATTAAATCCCACCAAATATTGAGATTGTGGAGCCTAATCATTCTCGAATTACACATCTGGAGAAGTGCAATCGGTCGCACTTAAGTTAGACGAGTCACACTTGTGTTCTGGAGCTTGAGTTGCATTGTGGAAAAGTGCAATAGGTTGTTCCAGTTGCACTTAGGAGCAGGGGCAGAGCTAGTGTGTGCCCGGGGGGGCACATGTCCCCTCTGGCCTGGCCCGCCCTATGTATATATATGGTTTTTATTTTATTTTATATATATATATATATATATATATATATATATATAGAAATTTGTATATTATGCTCCCTAAAATTATTAGTTTCCAATTTTTTTTTTAAAACTTTTTCTTTTTTACTCTTTAAATTTCTTTAATTACCTTTTCTAAAAGTGTCAAATTCCCCTTATTTAATCATGCTCTAATTTATTTCCTCCAAAATTCATTTTTCTTTCCCTTTTTCTTCTACTTATTATTATTATTATTTTTTTAAAAATTAAATAAAAAATTTCCACTATGCCCCCCTGAATTCAAATCCTGGCTCCGCCCCTGCTTATAAGTAAAGGTCACAATGGTTGTTCCGAGAAGTGAAACCGGTTGCACTTAAGTTGAACCGTTTGTACTTTGTTGATTTATGCGGAAATCTATGTTCTTATTCATTTTGGACTCTCCAGAGGTTTTAGGCTTGTGGGCCAAGTTGTGTTCTTATATATATTGGGTTTTGTACCAACCTAAGTGAAACGAGAGGTGTGAGGGAATTGTATTGTGCCTACGCAAGAGAGAAATTGAGAGAAAATTTCTCCATTGCAATTTTTCATCTTTTTCTTAGTGAGATTCTTCGATGCTTTCTGTAATGTTTCCGATTTTTCTAATTTTCCATTTTCTGGATTTTTCAATTTTTCTGAATTATTTTAATCCTTGCCTTGTTTTGTGTGCCAAACAGATTGGGGTGTGCCCGGTGAGTCCCAAGAGTGGTTGGGGCATTTCTTTAAATTCAGAACTCTTAAAAATGCATTAGTTGCCATTTCGACATTTTTTCATTTTTGAGGTCGGGAGGTCCCAGGTAGGACCCGCAACCGGAGTTGTACAGCACATAGATTTTTTTCGTGGCCATTGCATTTCATACATATTTATTTGATTCATGTTTATGTGACTAAGTGGTTATTAGTATTGTGGTTTGTGTATATGCATATATGTACATTTAGTAGCAAAAAGTTGATATTTTGTTTGCATGGAGCCCACTTGTGACCAAAGTCATTACAAATGACTAAATGGTCATCACCTGACCATTCATTTTCTTCCTTCCTCATGTAGCTCTCAGTTTCTCCCTCTAATTTCTAATTTCTATTTTTCTTTTATCACAATTTTCTCCTCCATTTTTCGGCCAATTGGTCGGATTTACAGTCTTGGTTCCTTGACGGAAAATGTTCCTCTCGTCGTTCTCTATTGTTACCCAAGAATTGACTCTAGAGAGGGGGTGAATAGAGTTAATTGCCAATTTTTGCAATTTAGAGAAATACAATTTTTAATCAACAATCTAACCAATTATGCAATAATCAAGATATGAAATTAAGATATGAAGGTAAATAATTTATAGCATAATTGTAAAAGAGTTAAGGGAAGAGAAATTTTAAACAATTACTTGGCAATTTTAGCGAGTTTTGAAAACTCCTACTCCTCGGCTCAAGACCCCTCTTGAGACTTCCTAATCCATTATGGCTTCTTCATACGGGTGGAGAGCAAACCTTTACATGAAGCAACTCCTTGCTAAGAGAACAACCTTCCCTTAGTCTTCCTTTGGGTCACACCAACTCGGTGGGTCAAACCAATCCCTTATAATTGATAGTAACAAGAATAATGAAGTAAAAGAAATATCTCTAAAAGATTGATGTACAAATTTAGCTCTCAACTAGAGTATATAAGAATATCAATGAAGCTCAAACTCTATGAATGATATGAATGAGAGAAGATGATATAAGTGGAGAATAAAAACTCTTATGAACTCAATAGGATCTCTCAAGTATAGAATAGAGCAAAATCTCTTTGAATCCTTAGTTGAATCTCTCAAGTATAGTATATGAATGAATGAGAGAGATGAAGAGAAAATGTGAGAACAAAAGCTCTCTTTGATGCCAAATAAGGTCTCTCAAGTATTGGCTCTTTGTGTATTCAAACTTTCTATAGTCTATTTATAGAGAATGCAAGCTCAAAAGAGCTGTTATAAATGAAGGGCCACGGCTCGAGGAGAATAGAGCCGTTGTAGTTTGAAATCTGCAGATTCGACAGGAACTGGTTGACGTGTTCCCAAACCAATCGACGGCTTCGAACAAACCGGTTGATGCGTGCACAAATCGGTTGACGTGTGCACAAACCGGTTGATGGTTTTGCATAAACCGGTCAACGTGAAAGCTGTGTTCCTGAAATGCAGTACTACCTATATACTGTTTGACATGAAGTTAGAATCGCTCGACGTGAAACTTAGTACACTAACAGTTTTGACAAATGATAGCTTATGCACAGGACTTTCAGTACAGGACATCTGCACAAATCCAATTAAATCAAAATGTGAAAATTGAGTTTTAATACAAATTTGGATTTCCGACAGTTTTCGTAAAAATGAATCCTTATGTAGACCAATACAGAATTGATGAAAAAATCACATAAAATTAGTTTAGGCTATTTGAAGTATAATGAGCTATTACCGGAAAAAATTATTTTGAAATAATTGTTATTTCAAAAATCCATTTTTCACATTTAGTCAAAAACACAGTTTTTCATGATGCGCATTCTGGGGTTCTAATGTCCGTTATCAACTTATGGTAATGAATGCTTCATATGCCTTAATCGTTGACCAATATAAATCATGTGATTGATGTGCATGGTCTTAGCATTTCTAGCACAAGTAATGAGTTCTTTCAAAGCTTAAGTAAGCTTGGACTAACTCATTCTTTAGCAATGACTTCATATGTAAATATATACGTGATGAAGTGCATAGTCTATTGCTAATAGATATAGGAACATATGAATGATCATATGATATATGTGGTCCTATAGAGATGAACTTCAAATGGATTCATAAATACTTTGACATTGATTTCTAAACACTCACCATCCTATCTACCCTATTCTTCAAGCTTTATCCATAATCTTTAGGCTTTGAGGTATTCTTGCTTTCTTCCTTCCTTTTAGTTGCTTTCTTACTCATTGTATTCCAAGCTATCTTTGGATGGACTTTGCATTTGGTTCCTTGCAACTTCATGTCTTCTTTATATCCATTGCTTTCTTTGATGTGATCTTGACTAATGGAATACTTGAAATGATCTTTATAGCTTCATTGAGGTCATTCTTTGAATGTGAATAATCTATAACACTCAATGTAAACATTAGTCCTTAAACACCATTAATGGTTTGTTATCATCAAAACATCTAGATTGCCTTTGGATGAACCCTTATGGTTAACATTCTCCCCACTTTTGATAATGACAAAACATTGATGTGTTCATAAGTAAATGGAGTAGCATTTGAAAAATGCTCCCCCTATCAAAGTGCATACAATGAACATAATGTTTATAAAACAACATGCTTTCTATATCGTAAATCATTTTAGACATAAACATGCACTACAGATTATTTCACACATCACATATCTCTTCCACTTTGGCATCTAAAAAAGGTGGGAGTTCAAGACATCTTCTATTAGCATTGATCATTTAGCATAAAGAATTGACATAGTGACGCAATAATAAGCAAGAATTGGTAATAAGTGACTATGATATGCTTTAGAATGAAACATGTAAGCAATTATATCATAAAAAGGCAATTTCATTGATATCATGAGTTCAATATATCATTAAGGTTTATGGCATATACAAAAGTATATATAAAATATAAGCTAAAGATGAAATATAAACTTAAATAAGCAAGAAGTATACAAAAGTATACATAATAAAACTTAAATACATGAAGTATGGACTAGAATAAGCCAAAAGGCAAAAACCTTGTAATGCAAATTTAGGAATTTAAATGTACTTCAATCTTAATATATGTTTCCCATTTGATATCTTCAATAATGAGGGAAAATTTTGAAAGTTATGAAAGCTCATAAGAGCGGAATATAATGACTGAAAAGTCATTTTAAGGCATGTTTTGACAATATGCAAGATAAGTCAATTAAGCTAAGCAAATCATGCAATATTCCTTCATAAGAGATAACTAATAATCTCCTCCTATCAACATGCTTCCATTTTCATCATATATTATTCAATGATTATACAACTAATGGAATAATGAAGTAATGATAGGTAAAGTATGCTTAAGATATATCATGAATTAAGTCATACTTAAAAACCCTTAATTCATT